GCTACTGACTCCGCTTGCACTCGCCTTCTTAATGGTTTATATGCCATAGCTTATCACCACCCATACGCACAACGTGTTGAGCCGGTCGGCCAGTATCAGCACAGAACCGTTAAGCTGTAAGCTCCTCGTGATTACTCCTTGCTGAACTTATACCTCGAGCTGCATTTTGAAGAATTCATCTACGATCTTCCAGTTGAAACTTTTCTTACTGAGCTAAGGTTAGCTTATATAAAAGCATGTAGTAAGACGTATGTGCATCATATTCTTTCCTCAGTGAGGAAGTTCAAGTTTGCAGCATAGAATAGCCTTTTGACACATTGCAGAAAATGACCGGATGAAGTATAATAATTACGCTTTTCTATTCTTTTTTATACACTCTTCAGTAGATCGAAAGACTTGTCTAGTTTTGAATTTCAGTGTCGACCTCATGACTTTGGGAACTTCGTTCTCCTTGCCGGCGATGCCGCCCATGCAATGGCACCATTCTATGGACAGGGAATGAATTGTGTATGACCTTTCTTTTCCCTATTTTTAAGAATGATAACTTTTGGTAGAAGAATTAGGCCGTTCGTCAAGCTTGTAATGAATGCGCAATAGCTTTCCAGGGTTTCGAAGACTGCCTCGTGCTGAAGGAGATGTTAGACGCCTGCAATGATGATATTCGTGAGTCCGATTCATGAATTGCTCGATTACAATTTCAAATTTGCAAACAACGGTGAAAAAATTGCATCGCAGTTTCAAGCAGCACATGTTGTTCACCCTAATAGTGGGTGCAGCTTTCCAACTGAGAGGAACAACGGGAGCATTTCGGTTTTGTCGGTATTTGGGAAGGTGTTGGAGTGCTAAACTTTGATGGGCCACTGCAGAAGCAGTGAAACATATCGCTATTGCCGATCTCTTCCCTCTTCTACGCTCGGGTAGAGACGGTTTCCGTGTGCAAGTGAACGGAGATCAAGCACTATCATCAGTGCCCTGACGATATTCCCACTCTCATTCACCATGAGGAGAATCTTTGTTGGTCATGAACCGCCCTGACTGTCAATGAGCACAATTCTGTAACCATTAGATAGAATATTGAAACATGGATTTAGTTCTGCTAAACTTAGTTAAAATTTCGCTTGGACGATGGAAATACCTGCTTTGGTGGAATCCGAAAGACGCTCCCTCTTGGTTATTTCCTTCGAAGGAATTCTGAAGTTGGAATCACTGGCAACATCAAGAACTACTATTAACATTAGGTAGGACCGCTCCACAGGGGCCAAAGGTGAAAATTTGTTTTCTGTGAGTGGAGCGGGAACTGCGGAGTTAAGGAAACGAGGCCTCTGGCCATCATTGATTGGGAACAGTTCGCTGCCCTTGCGAATTCCTAGAAAGATCCTTTATTGACAACATCGTTAAAGAATATAGCCAGTTCGCCGAACATCTTCACAGTGAAGCTGGGAAAACAGAGAGTCTACAAGTTGTCAATAGACGTCTTTTTCGTAGGCTATCGAGCTGACACACGTGAATCGCACGAACCTGCACGCAATCATCAAAAAACTTCGGACTTGCGAAACTATGCAGAGAAGCTATAAAGGAAGATCTGGAGTAGCGAAGAGCAGCAGTTTTGGCCGATGTCGCTGGGGAGACCTTTCACGAAGTCCGCTAGAGTTTCGCCAATTATAAGACCAAGTGTTTTCCTTTCCTAGTTCTGACAGAACGGTTACTGAAAACGACAACGCTTTTGAAAAGATCGGCTTGCGATGGTCACAAGAAACGGATTGCTATCTGATGCTCTTTTACTCTGAATACCTCTGATTGTTCTAGTTACCTGTATCTAAGTCGAGGATTCAATATGATGAACAACCTAGCTCCGGAACTAAGCAGAAAGAAAGAAATACGCGGCGTGGGAAGCATCAAGCATATCGAGAGAGTAGTGAATAAGACGAAGAACTTCTGGCTCTGTGCTCATTTTTCGGCTCTTCTGTCCTTCCTGCTTTGACATACGCCCCGGAGACAGGGACTCTGCGAAAGAAGAATGAGCATGGTGGCAACGTCATTCAACACGATGTGGAAATGATGATGCTCGGAAATTTCCGACACACGCAGACAGGGGAATCCTAAGTTCCCTTCCAGTGCTGCCGTGCTTGTCCGAAGGAGTCGAAGATCAGGTGGACTGGACACTTCACGGCTCATCCTTCCCCGAAAAAAGGCTGACCATCACGATGGTGGCCGCCCTGGTGTTCTTCAACATTCCTTCACGAAATTCGTGAACGAAGGTGTTCTATGCTTTGTGTCCCTCGGGCTAAGACAATTCGATGGACTATTCTGATTCGCTACGGAGACAAGTGAAGATGTTACTGGCGCTCGCTCGAGTAAATTGATGATCAAAGCGATTATGAGCAAATCTCAGAGGCCCTATCAAACATGTCATTCAAGTTTTCACGGGAGAATGTGATTTTGTGTTGCTTATTTTGGAAAGGCGTACTTTCTCAGGATGAGCTTGATTCGAGTGAAATTCCTTTGTTTTCAGCCAAAACTCTCAAAATGTATTCTGAAAACCGAGTTAGGGATGCTCATACGATCATCGATCTAGCCATGTACAACTATGAGGAGGTGAGGATTGATGTTTTGTAAATCAAAAAGTCGGTCGCAACAACTCAGTTCACCTGCGAGTGCGGTAATCCTTCGACCGGAATGCCCTGTGCATTAGCGGTGCTCCGATCGATGTCGATCGAAGACCGGAATCCCGAGCCAAACAGTCACTTCTTAGCACTAGTCGAAACTGATTCTAAGGAATTTTCAGCTGAAAGATTTGGTCAACCATCCGTCGTACAAACTTCGGAAAAAGATCGACTTGTTCCTGAACTGGCTGTTCCCCAAGATATGGATTCCACGATATTCGATGGTAACGTTTACAAGAATGCCGTACCACAAAGTCGTAGAGGAACGACAATGGCAGGATAAGGTTAGCAACTACTTCTCTCTTTGTTGATCACTTTCCCTACCTGAATTGCGGGGCACAAAGTAACACACTCTATGGATCAACCACGTCTTTGAAAGAAGCCAAAACCTCGACCTGACGACATTATAATTTTTTGAGTTCGTGGCAGCAACTTTACACTTTGTAATCTTTGCCTTATGGACTGGGTCTACCCCGGTCTAGTCGAGTCTAGCTGCAGGCATATCTGAGCATCCTCAAATCAGCGAAGTTAAGCTGCCTGTCATGTTTGCTGATGGGCCAGGAAAACGCTGCCACAGAGCATCGCGGTCGCAGTTATTCGAGCTTTTACCGCCTGGTCCACGCTACCGTAGTGGCTAGATCGCTACCCAGCTACCGAATCCTGTATCCTTTCTGAAAGGATACAGGATCCGGTAAGACTTTCCTGAAACCGTCTTCGATTGAGTCCAAGCTCTCTCGACGCGGAGAATTTGAATTCTTTTCTTTGAGCCGGAGCCCTTTTTCCAGCAGAGTTTTATTCAGTTCTGCGGCTTGTCCTGGAGTTCTTCTTTGCTCTCCGCTATCAAAGCGATGTCATAAGCGTAGAGGACGGTCTTCACTGATCCATCAAAAAGATCTTTTCTGATGACACCCAGTATTAACGTTGAGCTCGACAGGCGCCGGCTGATCAATTTGGCCACATCTTCACAGTCGGAAAAAGAGGACTGAATGAAGCAAATCAGAGACGAGGAATTTGAATTTCACTTTGAGTTCGAAATGGTGCTGAATACTTGTTGTTCAATTTCTTCTCCTCTTGAGAAACCCCTTGTATTGATGTCACTGAATCAGCCATTTTGCTGGTGTTATTCTGTGTGGAACCGTGTGACCTGACATTTCTTAAGTGCGTGCCACCTTCCATTTAAAAATGAAATTCTGCAATTTTCAATAAATTTTCCGGCAGTTCTCCTGGAGTTCGATGCCTTAGGGATTAATCGACACTTCTCGCTCTTATTAGAGTATTGTTGGCTTCCGCCCCTCCTTCTTTGGAATTTTTTAGGCACGGCTATTGATGACAGGTGCGAACTGACTTCTAGTGTTTTCGAGTTCTTCAGAAATCTGGAAATTGCTATCGCTAAAGCAAAGAAACGTTACAATTTGGATCCGGTCTACCTTCAAGAGTTCAGCACGAACTAGAGAAAAGTAAACACATGTGGATTTTGGAAACGGGAAACAAAATTCAGAGAAACCTGAGAATTCAAATGATCAATCTATCAGACGACGCCTAAAACAGCGCAAATCGTTGCCTTAAAATATTTTAAAACAAGTAATGTTGAATGAGAACCCGAACATTTTTTCTGTTTATTTCCAAACATCATTACCACTGAAAACCGAAGAATAGGTAACCTCCTTCAAGAACTAAGTCTTTTTACAGAGTGCACCGCTGTGTTCAAGTGAATCACTCCATAACATCGATGTGCTTTCAGGTCCTTTCGAGATTACAATACTCTTTTGCGAGCATAGCCGCTGTACTCGCTATTGTGGCGGCTTACGGTGCGAGGAAACATGGAGTACTATAAAATTTGGCGGCCTTGCATTTATGCTGTATATAACAAACATAATAAAATAAATGAATTTGTTTTGGATTGATTTTCAACAAGTTATTAATGTTGATGTGCTTGATGTGCCCTTCTCGGATACGGAGAACTAGCAAGTCTTGGGGAGGGGTAGTCAATCCCGTCTGAGGAATGCACCCATGCATTCGACTTCCATTCACGTATTGAGTGCGTATCTGCCCTATACAATGACTTGCGGTAGCCACCCGATATGCAGTCAGCGCTTTTACCTTCCCAGACGAGTCGGTACCAATTATTACACCGCCGGAGAGATGGAAGGATTGGTTGGCACTAGATGGATATCGATCAGGGATCTGAACCCGTGACCATACGAAAGTGAAGCGCGCCACTTGCCACTATACCACCTCCTCCCTTTGAATGTTCGAAGGTGCATTAAGCAAAATATTGTCTAGTAAGTACAAACAATCTCAAGAGAGCATGGATATCACTGTTTGGATATTGAACCAACAGCGACTTCAGGTAATGAACACTTTCTGGGGATATTCTTTCAAAACCACCCTAGTCCCGCCGGCTCTTATTGAGGATATCTCCTTCACACTTCCAAACCAGCGCTGAGCCAATAGTAAACTCGTTGCTACTCAAAACAATTGCTTTGCTTTGCAGGGAAATGTTGTGAGAAGGAAATCATGCCAATTCTTGGTTATAAAACTATTTATTTGTTCCCTCGTAAAATGTTTACAATCAATACATAATAGAACTAATCTTCTAGATGGAACGAACAGTAAAACTTCTCCACTACTCTTTTGGAGGACTCAGATCAACTTTCGGCTCTGGTGGAGGTTCAGGCGCTGAAAGTAGATTTTTACCATCATGATGAAATTACTACAGTAGAAAAATTAAAAGCAAAGGAGCAGTAATAGGGAATAACGAACGACAAACGATAGAACTTCATAGAAAATAAAAGTAATATTTGGGAGCCTTACAAAATTCGTTTTAACGGCCTACCGAGAAATTTTAGAAAAAAAAACATGAATTTTTCAAAAGAAAACCATGAATTTTTGTAGACGCCTCACTTGAAGGCTGAACTAACTCGATTGTGCAGCTGCAGAAAAGAAAGCCACAAACTTTGTTAAATTTGCAAAACATCGGGCTCCCCAAAGAACTTAACTGCCAAGAAGTATTATACGAGATTACCAAGACGAAAGAGGAGTTCGCACGAAATTTCAGACACTGCGCGATAACGCATGCAATTATATAATCAATTCGCTACAGCACTCCTATTATCAATTGGTTATGAGTTTTGTGATTTGGTGTCCACAGCTCCGGAATCTGGCCAATGGAGCATGGTGAAATTGAATTGTGCATTTATGTGGAGGGTCTAGCCCACCCTGGGGACCTCCGCCAACCGCAGGTGCTTTCCCTCCGTTCCGTTTGCTGACCGATTCTTCGCCTCTACCCATTTTCTCAGGTGTCTGGGCTGTTCGAATTAGGAAACATAGCTTCGCGCCGTCCATCCCATGGGAGTTGCCTCCGTGTGTAGAGCTCTGCTAAGTTCACATGTGCTCTTTCCATCTTGCCAAAACACACACCCTAACCAAACCAGACCGGACCTCTGTAGGTGCCTTCTCGCCTAATACGATTGTGACAGATAGACGCGAGCGTAATATTTATAGTAAGCGTAGTTCATTGCCCAGAATGACGAAATTCTGAATCGAATCCTTACAGTCGCACACGCACACGCGTACGCGTCTTTGTGGTTCCCAGACGAATGTGGTACCAATTAGCCGACTACGAAAGAATGGCAGGCTTGGTTAACCAAAGCGGACATCGATCGGTAAACGAACCCATGACCATGCGTGTGTGAAGTGCTCCACTTGCCACTGCGCCGCCTCAGAAAGTTCTAACAAAGATTAAGAGCTCTTTTGGGAAGGGCTGGAAAATAAGCCATGACCTCACCCCTGTAAACACCCGGTTAAGGCTGGGTAGAACATGTGAGGAAAGCTCTCATGTGAGAAAGACCCACTGAGGAAAATGGGTAGTGCGTTTTCGAGGGAAACGTTTACTCCACGTCATGTTCTGCCCCTTATCGTTAGTCCAAATCACATTCTTCATTTCTATATCAATGATACCACATTCTATATCAATCATCATATTTAACAACCTCTCAATCTTAAACTATGAAAAGACAACATAAAAAATAAAGTACCGATTGAAATTTTTCAAAAATAAAGCTTACACATGAAGTTGATAAAACAACGAAAACGGAAAACGTACAGCTCTTAAACCGCTCCCACGCCGTCTCAGAGTGAGCGATTCCTGTACGAACTACGTCGACTGTTTCGTATGGATAGCAGAAGGCGGCCATTGTCGCCAATCCAACAGCAGTCGTAAACGAACGACCGATGACACCCCTATGGACACAGAAACCTTTGAAACAATAATTGATCTTCAGATAATGACCGTTTACCTTTTCAATCCAAGAACGAAGCCTGCCATGCCACCGACGGTGATAGCCGCAGCTTTGGGAAGTACAGTCCATTCCTCGTCCACATACGTTTTCGTTTCTATAACGTAAGAATATGAAATACATACTGATGCTATCGAGAAAACAGCGCACACTCACTTATTAGCGCGCTCTTTGACTTCTGCACTGTCTTGTCAACAATCTGGAACTGTTCCTGCAAAAGATCCTGCTCCCTAACTTGAAATCGTACAACGTCCCAACAAAGTCAAGAAACTCAAGGAAAAATGATTTTATTGTAGCGAAGCCAAAGAACCGAAATCATTTAACCTTGATCAGCCGACCACATAGTAAAGAGATATTAAAGAGATATTTTATCCCAGCACTCCGTAGCGTTCACTTCTCGCACTTTCTCTTTGAATTCTCCGTGATCATGAGCTTCACTTTCAACGTGAAGTGAGTTCACCTACTTTTTCAACGATTCCTTTAGACCCTATGAGTGCCAGCGTATACCTAATTCCCTAATCATATGCATAATACATATTGCAATAGTAAGAATCGAACTATGCAAACTCTTAATGTAACTCAAAGAGCAACTACAATTATGTCATTAAAAAGAACGCACCGCAATTCTCTGGTACTCCCTCTCGAATGATTTTCGAACAGTAGCAAATTCTCTTTGAAGTGGCAACGGATCATCTTCCACGAAGACGTATTGCTGCTGACGGGCAACATTCCGCTCGTCATCCTCGTACAATGGCAGCTTTAATAATTGACTTTGTTATTCAGTACTGTTTCTTTTCTATGGGTCACTACAAATTCTGTTTTGAACGATGTAAAACTTTACCATAGATCAAAGTCTTGCTAATCGAATATAACTTGATTCTACAAAAGATGAAAGGTAGAGCGCTTCCTCACTCCAGTTCATCCTAGTTCAATAAAAACAGCGCTATTATTTGCCTCTCATTATGCGTAACCTGCATCAAGGTTTAGAGAAATTTTTAAAGAGAACTTGTTCACAGATCCTTCCGCAACAGAGGTGAGCTGACCACACTGAATCGTCACGAGACAAAAGACTCGATTGCCCAATAGAACACGGGTAGGAAGGATACAAAGAAATGAAAACGTTAGAATGGGTTTCTAGACTCAACGATGTAGAAACATATTCATAAATTAGTAAACAAAGAAGCAGCAGTATCTCTCGATTGACACGAGCCTCCCCATCTTTCTAGGTTCTTAAACTCCCAAACAGTTACTAAAGGTGAAACAATTTCACGTGAGCAACGGCACAAAAGTGCCTTCAAAGGTGTATGTTTCCCGAGTACCCATCACAGTCAAAATCCTGCTTTTCTATTAGGAGATGGTCACTCTGTCAGAACAACGGGGGAACGGGGAATTCAGATTGAAAACAATTTCTGTTGCTCACTAAGAGAGGCGAGAGTGCCGGCAATCAGTACGAAGAAAAAGTGTCCTGCAAAGGTCCAGTTCAATACGTGAGGTAGCAACATGGTTGAAAACACATGCAGTAGTATACATAGCATCTTATATGGGCATTTCGAATTAGTATCATTCCTCAGTAAGCTGAAGGATCATGATCTGTTGTCGTACGTGCAATAATAGCGGTACGACTTACTGTTAGTGTCAAGCAACCAGAGTTTACAGTTTCCTTATTGCTTGAGACACGGTCTCCTTGAAGAATTCGAATTTTGAGCGAGAAATACATCACATTAAAGGATAAAGGATAAAGTGTATCAAAAAGGTTATAACAGCAAATCAAGTGAGTTATGAACAAAATAGCCACAAGAATACAGGAGCAAATATAGCGATGAAAATGAAAAACTACTCACATCTTTCACGGCGACCAATCTTTCCGGATTGGGTGGAGGACGTTTGTCTTTTGTTGTTAAGACCCACCACTGTTTAACTACGTTGCCAGCCTAAATGCGTAACACACTGCAACGAAATGGAAATGTACGAATTCATCATGATACGAATTACCTGGATTCAAATAGAACAGGACGATTTGGAGTCTAAGGGTAGGAAAATTTCCTTCTAAAGAAAGTCCGAGTTCTGCGGAAAAATCTGCGTTCTCCCAAGCCGAAGATTTCTAATTGGATCATATGTCAAGTGAAATTTATTTTGCATGAAAGTCGTGTTCCAATAACTTATCGAGGTCACTGGCTACGAAAGATGAATCCTACAGAGGAGAAACAATATAATATGGAAAGGTGAAAAGAGTTGAGTAAATAGACCCCCTACAAGGGAAATGGGTGATCTGCGGCGACTGTGAGCGCGACGGATTCTTTAAAAGGATACGCCAAGAGCAATCCTCGTCGAAACTCAGGGAAATGACGAAAGTTCCCCGTAGTGAATTGGTCCGTAGTTCTGAGTTCGGTTGCCATAACCAAGTGGGCTAACGGAAGTTAATGAACACCCATCGATCCCAACCCAACTCACGTAGCTCCAAACTCACTTATCGAAATATATTGTGTTGGTAATCACTAAGCAATGAACTCAAGAGCCAAGAAAATTTGTGGCGAAGTGTAAGTTAAATGAATATAATAATTAACCATGCAATAAACTTAATTGCTTAATCACCTTCTTTGCAGAATCAGCAATCTGTGTGACGATAGGTGGCTCGTCCTCTTTAACCATGCTTATCTGAAAGAAAGGTAAATCATCTGAGCCATAGAGATCAAAAAACAACTATGCACTACGAAGCAAAAATTACAAGCGCACAGGTTTTATGGTGCAGCACAAAATACACTTGTCGTTTTTCTATGGAGACGTGCCGCAACTGCAGACATCACACGCCTGCTATTTCCGAGGAGGCCTCGTCACCGTAAGTAGATGCTAGCGTTTTTGCCGGATTTCTATTTTTGACTCGAATTGTCTGCTTTCACAAGTGGCGACAGTGACAGCATGCCCACTACGGGACTGCTCCTCGAATTATACAATGCTATTGTGATGTAGTACTGGATTTCACAAGATGGATTTAATAGTCCCGTGAATGTGCAACACAGTAACCCGAACATACATTCAAGCGCCTCCAAACACCCGTTACATACACGACGCAACAGAAAGGTGCGCCGGGTGAACGCCGGGGATGGGTAGAGGGACACTAGGGTGTTACTGTATCACACATTCACGAACGTTAGATCCTTCCAATGTGGACCTTGTGGGTGTGGTGCAGTAGGAACGAAATCGTCGCGTCGCGGTGAGAGGGACGTCGCGCGCGAAGTAGCAGGATGCAGCAGTAGGTAAGAAATACAAGAACAAAAGTACTAATATAGCAGGATGCAGCAGTAGGTAAGAAATACAAGAACAAAAGTACTAATAGTAGAATTAAGCATCAAATAATGATCGCATATCGATTGAGCTCTATGGAGAACGCTAGAGCTGTAATAACGGCGGATGAGTGGTCCGCGACAGCCGCGTGCGGCGAATCGATTACCCAAAATCGTTACTAACGCCCGTCTCCCGGATCTTGTAGGTGGAATACCGGTGACGTACTGTACTAACCCTGTCCATATCGTACCATGTCCCATTTTCCGAAGCCCTGACCCAGCCCCCAAAAAATAGAAGAAATCAAACATCCGGGGACTTTATGCTGAACACTCTGACTGCAGAAGTAACATCCCAGGCACAAATCTTAACTGGGCAAACCTTCAGAAGTCCTTTTTCTGGTGAACTGTATAGCGGAAAATGTATGTGAACTACACCTTCGGCTTAGCCTCTATGTCTCTACGTTATCGAGAATAAAGTGAAAATCTCTCCAATAAAGAAGACATGCTTCAGGGAAAGCAGAACGAGAATCTTACTGTTTGCCGCGCTGCTCCATCACCAATGTGAGGGATTCGTTCCACCTTGGCTCGGGTTGCTACTATGGGACTCGTAGACTCTTGATAAGGCCGAGCCGTTGGGGTCAATGATACGTGGTCGCGAGCAATAGTGATCCTTCACTTCACTACGAAACGCTACAACAACAATTTTCGGCTCAACGTTTCTAGTTTAACGCACGAAAACGATATAGCGAGCGACGGGCAGCAGCCGAGCCGACTGGTCCCTTCGAAACACCTGCGACGTGCCCTGGGAACTGCTGGCCGCCGGGTGCTCCCAAGGGAGAGAGGGGAGGGAGGAATTCTCTCTTTCCTGCATTCGACGGTCTAAATATGGTCCAAAATCAAACACGTTTGGAAAAAACGTGGCCGGTCCTATTCGTGAGTGAAGCTATTTAGCGCCGCCTTTGATTCAGTCTTCGTCATTCTCTCAAGGCCGGCCAATGACTTCACCTGTGTTCCATCGAAGAAAACTTCACGTGAATCAAAATATGATGTAAGCTATGGTCTGAGTTTGTGGCTGTATGGCGGATGTCTGGCCTTACTATGTAGAGACTGTCGAGGTCGTTTCGAGTATGTTCTGCTTTGTTGAGGCGCGCGTTATTCCGGAGCAGCGATAAATTCACAAGTTTTCGGGGCAACCCAGCTTCGGTATAGACTTTTGGAGAGGGCCAGTGCCGTCATAGTGGTATGTCAAGTGAGCCGTTCAGTGAACGAAGTCATAGAAGAGAGAGAAAGCAAAGGAAGAGTGAGCGCTTATCCCTACGTGGGTTTCGGTGCCTCGAAACGAGATCGTTCCTTGCAAGGTGGTCCAAATTTTTATCGAGCTTCAGAGACATTGGAAAGGTGACTACAGTTCTGGAGTAATCAAGATTATAGAAGATATGCGGTTTACGAATGGCTTATAGCGCGGAATCAATGTAGTAGATGTAAAGGCGGGCATACGACTTTTCAAGAATATCAAGCATATTCCTATTCTGGGTCAAATCATATAATGTATTAATATGGGTCATTCCTAGAACATTCTCCAAAAAATACCGATGCGCTTGAAAAAATAACAATGAAATGCATACCTAGAATATGAGTTCAAATCCGTCAGAATCAAATATCTTGTGACATTTGTTTTTCTTCAGCTGTCGTATCCATCTCGCACGGTATTTTCTAAGTGGGCTTCCCAGAATGAGGCATGCATTAATGATGGGGAAGCTCACTACAGAGCGCGTAGGAGATTATAATTATTATTTTGTAACTATTTGTAATTACTATTTGCATTATAATTTTTCGGCTTCCGCTTGGGCTCGTTCCACTGCCCCTTGTTTCCAGTCGATGGAGGTATCCTTTTTTCATCCGCCGTACAGGACCCCGTTACTTTCTTCGCCATCACGAAGAACCCAAAGACACGGTACTGAAGAGTTAAGCCTGGGTGGGATGGCAAGACGGCCAACATCCATCCCAAATATCACGGCTACTGAAAACCTGACGAGATGATTACTTATGCCTTCACAGAGGTTACAAGGTACAGCGAGGGATTTATCTACCTATTAAAGACGCAGTTCACGATAAAAATGGCCTGTGAGATATCCCGCTGAATAAATTTGTGACCCTCTCGAATACCACATGTGGCGCTGTCAGGTCGGAAAACGGCCTTTAAAGGGCGCTATGTAGGCTCAAAGATTGTCCAGTGAGTATGCTTAAACGAGTTTCACGGAAATTGTGGAGGCTGCACCATACACTAGGGAACCCATGTAGGAAATTCGAACAACTTGTCGTGAACCGTCGCGACAGGTAATTCTGGACATTTTCAGTTTGATGTAGTCAGCTCCTTGCGCAATTACAACAACTAAAATCTCGTCCAAGTGACCCTTCCATGTCATTTCCGTCATGGTAACCTCATACCTCTTTTTCACTACTTTTGAGCAGCCCTATTGCGCAAAATCGGCGAACTCTCTCGCTCGTTTCACCACCGATGCACTATATCAAACCAATGCTTCCGTTTTTCGACTTATGGACGGTGTCTTTAAATAACGTTATGACACAACGAATAGAACCTTTGGGCTGCGATACCGTGTGCCACCCATCCCAATTACCACTGCTTCATCCTTCAAGACCTTCTTNACCACCGATGCACTATATCAAACCAATGCTTCCGTTTTTCGACTTATGGACGGTGTCTTTAAATAACATTATGCCACCCAACGAATAGAACCTTTGGGCTGCGATACCGTGTGCCACCCATCCCAATTACCACTGCTTCATCCTTCAAGACCTTCTTGACCGAACTCGATTATATGGGTACGTAGCGTGGATCTCGACATCTTCAATTATTTTCCCTTCAGTTCCGGGACAATGGGATCGGAGACCTGCCTGGCTGGTGGACCACTGGTATGTCTAACAGAGGCGACTTGTTCTTGAAAATTTCGCAATTTCAACGAAAAAAAAAATAAAAAGGAAAAAAGTCGTGTCGGGACTTCCTTTCCAACATAATTCTGTCTGTTTAAAATCAACTGGTTTAAAGCACGTCTTGATTAGACTAGGACCCTTTAATAGAAAAAGCTCGAAAGCATCCACTGATTTTTTTTTTCATTTGCTCTTTTGCCTTGAAAACAAACATCTTAAGGGCTACAGATTTTACAGATTTTAGAGAAGGAAGGATAGTAAAAGAGTAGTTGCAAGAGCGGAGGGAAGGGGTATACGAAAGTGAAAAATACAAGAAATCAACAACTACGATTTAAAGAGAATATTGAGACGACGACAATTTTTCATTCTGACTAGTACACTATGAAAATCAAAAACTATATTATTCACAACACAGGGTTAAATTAAGCTTCAAGTTCAGAAAAATCACAATTTTCTTGTGGTTATTAGGGTCCCAGCCATATGTAAAAGATCAGAGTTACGAAAGTGAAAAGTTTCAAATTATTAGGTCAAAAAGAATGTGATTATGCTAGAGAAATTTGATTTCTGCTAAATGAAGCTAGGCTATAACAGCTACTTATCAACTGCAAAAGAACCTTCAATATGAGCTAAAGACTAAGTATAATGAAAACAAGTTAGATTTATTTAGCGCGCCATTTGTTCGCCTCCATCTCTTCTTCGATGTACTCCAGCACAGACTTCACGACCTCGCTTGTCTTAATACGGATGATCAGTTCATAGCAACGAGTTCAATTTTTGTGTTCTACCTTAGCGGTACCGCCGATATCAGGTGTGTGAAGTCGTTTCTCTACCAAGGTACGGTATAATGAATCGGAGATCATGTTGGCGTGATGGTTCAATCCGAGATACCTAAAAGATTAAACCTCACTCTAAAGAGTAAGTACAAAAAGTGCAGTCATCCGTATTTCGTGTTTAGAACAGAAATGCTTTGAAAACCCAACTTCATTATTCGTGCTGATAGCACTGATAGCTCACA